AGTTGGTGGTCACCAAAAAAGTTATTGAAAAATCATGTTTTAGTTTTCAGCCTCTCCAAAACCAAATTTATCCCTATATTTATTTAAAAACACTTCAAAAATCACAGAAATAGCATCAATCAACTTTTTTAAAATCTCAAAATCTATTTCAATACACATAAAACACACAAACATTTAAATGAAATTAAAAAAACTCAAAATATTTTCGAGCTCGTTGTACTTTCTCCAACTATTTCATAACTTTTGACCATCATAAACATATTATACTCTTCAAGACGGATAGATTAATGGAGAGTTTGATGATCGAAGTGATCGAATGAGCCATGTCGTCCCTTTCTCTCTTTGTTTCTCTTTCATGTAAGGGTCCACAAACCGGATTGCAACACAATTGAAGTTTGGGATTGAAAAAAATATTCGGAAAATTTGAGGGACAAATAAACAATAAAAATTTACGTAGAAATGATTGTACGTGAACAATACACATAGGTGTAGAGGTACGAGACGTGTGCATTGTCGTTTTATTTTAATGTTTTAGTTAAAGTGAAAATCAAGCGAAACAAGACAACATCTTAGCTAGTCCAAGAAATTGTCATCAAATCGAAGTTCTCGAGCCTCTAGCTCATGCAAATTAAGAGTAAATAAGAAGGATGTCGGCATCTAGATAGTCCAATAGCTTGTTAGACCCGTATCCTATAAATGTAAAAAAGTAAAGGAGTTTCATTATATGGTCTAGGAATATTGGATGCGTAGGATATATAGCATGACAACTTAACGAGTTACCCTAGGCCAAAGAATTTAAAAATTAATTGAAACTCTCTCTCTCTCTGTATGTTTCCTTTCTCTTTCCCTTCTTCTAATTCTCTTCCTATCCCGATATCTTTCTCTCTCTTGCCTTGTTAACGATGATTTCCATTGGATCATTTATGGATTGTAGCCAACCAAATTTCACTTGTAAGTTTAGCTTCAAATAATGACAATTATTAAGATTAATCCATATCCACCAAAAATAATTGAAGAGTGGTCAATTCTCAAATTACTAAAATAATAATAATAATAATAATGATCGTTATTTAATGAATTCGAACAAATCTGTTATTTTAATACATAGTTATAAAAAGTACAACGACATTTCACATAAATAACAACTTATGATGTTGTTATTGTTCAAGTACAAGAAAAACTTTAACCGTCGCTAATTAAAGAAAAACCATCGCTAATTAATTTTAAACTTAATGTTTCAAAAAATCATGAACTCAATATTTTTTAATGATTTTAACTTATTCTTTAAAAATTATATAGAAAGGTCACCAACTAAGACTCCAATAACAATAGTAGCACATATCTAATTTTTTGATCAAAATTCCAAGTAATGCCGATATGATAACCCTAATTTTGTTAGTTTTGGGTCAAATGTTAACCCTAGAAAATTCATTGATTTTCCTTCAATTTAAATGAAAATCTTCATTCTTAAAAACTAATTCACACCTAATCAAGTCATAATTAAGCTACAAAACATTAATCACATTAAAGGATCAAAAAGCCGTAATTCTCTTATTTGAGCCAAAATGTATCATCCTTTCTAACCCAAAATTTTTTTGATTTCTAATCACTAAATTTAAGTCCAATTAACCTAATTTAACCTCAATTTCCTGAAATTTAGACTTAGGATGATTTTTCCTAATTTTTTTCAACTAAGAACCCTAACCCTAATTTTCACAATTTGTGTAATTAAGCCAAATTAATGGATCAAACATGAAATTAAGCTTGTTTGTAGTGTAAGTAAAATTAACTTACTTGATTAAGCTCTAAATTAACCTTGAAAAATTAGGTTGCTTGAGAATTCTTTTCTTCCTAGCTCTTTTTCCTCCTTAATTCGAATTAGCACCTTAATTTTTCTCCTTGAAAATTTTTGCTTCCAACTTGAAATTTCAGGCTTAATCAACTAATTTGAAGTGCCTAAAATTGGTTAAGATTGTTTTGGATAATTTTTTAGTGGAATTTTTGCAAGAATTTCCTTCTTGTTTTTCTATTTTTCTTAGCATTTTTAATTTTTCTAGCAACATTATTTATAGCTAAATTTTTTGAACTTGGTGGCCTCATCTCTACCCTTAATTTGGATAAATCTTAGCCCTTAATTTAATTCCCAATCCTTTCTTTTTATTTGGCTAAGTTTCTAGCCATTTATTCTTCTTTTTATTTAAGCATTCCACTTAGCTCAATTTAGGCCATAATTTTTATTGAAAGTCAGACCTAATTAATGCTTTAAGTTGGCCAAATCTAGAGGAGAAATGAAAAATTTTAGCCCTTAACTTTCTAGAATGTTCCATGGCCCTTTCTTTTCTAAATCCCCCTTTTATTCAAATAGTCACTTTTAACCCTTATTTTCATATTTTATAACCAATTTTTGACCCTTAAAATTCTTACTCCATTTAATTTTAAAGTTCAAACTTTTAATTTTATGCAATTAAGTCTCTAAATCCAAAATTGCATCCCATACCTTTCCAATATCAAATTCTTTTATAATAAATTCAAATACTTTCTAAAATAATTTAATTATCCTTTTAATAATTTGTATACACCTATTTAGGCCTTAAAATTTATTTTCTAGTGTGAAAATTGCACTATTTCATATAGAAAATATTCCTTATATATAGAAAAATTCTTCTAAATTTATTAACTATTCCTAAAAATCCTAAATAATTTTTCTATGCCCTTTCAATAATTTTCTTAACCTTTTAAATTACCTAAATTAATTATTTTTCCTTAAAAGCATTATTCATACATACAATAATTCAAATAAAATATTCACAAGCATACCATAAAATTTATACAGTGATATAAAATAACTTAACACCCCTCTAATAAATTTTCTAAGCAAATAATATTTTTTTTCATTTACATGAAATATACTCAAAATAATTATTTCACATAAAAATTACTATTTATACACCGTAAAATCAATAAAATATTCATAGAGCATGGAAAAACAATTTTAATCGCTTTGAATATTCTTTCAACCTTTTTTTGAACTATTCCATGCCCTTATAATATTTTTCATATGTCTTTAATACTTTTAATTATATTAAATTTCAATTTTAGTGGATACCGGATATTACACTAAATGTACTTTTTGCCTTTAGAGATGAAAATCAAAATAAGGATAGGTGGATGACGGATAAGGTTACTATCCTTTGGGACATGGTTAACGTTGCTATTGATTAGTAGTATTACTATGCATGTGCTAGCAAGTAATTCTAGTGCCTAAAGGAACTTTACAAAGGATTGAGAGTCGATGGCCAACTTTCTTTGGAGCTCATCAAGGGATAATTGTCATCACTCGGATATCTTGGAGTTAGGTTTGCAAACTAAAAAAGGAAAAGTGGTCTAGGTCTAAGGAGTTTAGGGTAGGTAATGTCGACCTACTAGGCAAAACTAAAGATGAAGTCTTTGGGCTTGCTTTCCGGATGCGAAATATGGGGACAAAGGTAGCACTACGGGGCATCCTTCCATATTTGGAAAGCTATTGCTCCTCGCTTATCAAAGTTGCTTTTTTTTTTTTTTTGATTTAGTGGATAATAGGAAAAAGGTTTAACCTTTTTGGGAATACTAATTGGTGTGGTACCCCATTGGATTCCCCATGGCCTTTGGATGAGAGACTTAGTGTTAGGCGAGCGCATTAGGAGTTAAATGAATTCCTATTGTTTATTCCTACTAGATACCATAGTAAGGTAATGCACCTTCAATTTGATAATTTAACTAATGACATATTGATATGTACTTTGACTAAAATAAAGGTTTTTTGAAACCATTGCCGCACTTCCTCTCCTAAATGGTTGAGGGCTACAACGATTTGGAATGCTTATATACTAACATGGGTGGCTATTACCTTTTGGAAATGGTTTAAAGGTTGCTCTCCTAGTTGACTCTAGAATAAAAGAATTTCATATCCCCGTAGTTTCTATATGCCTTTGCTATCGGGAACATAAGGGGAGACCTTAACGCATTTGTTTATAGAGTCTCGGATCGCTTCTAAGGTTTAGGCACACTTTTGAAAAAAAATTTGGCTTGAGGCATTTTTTGGGTTTGGTAGTGGTTTGTACGAGGACCCGGTTATGTCGATCACTACTCGATCGGGTATGTGTTAAATTGATACCTTTTGTTTTGTTCTTTAGGAATTATGGAAAGGTAGATATAAGGATGAATTGATGCTTTTTGCTGATATTATTCAAAGAGTTAAAATGGATCTACAAGATATGTGTATTTTATATGTCCCAAAAAATCCTATGAATGTGTACGACATGAGGAAGTTGTAGACGCTTGTGTTGATCCAGTTCAACGAAGTTTTTAAGGGGAAAATGGCTTAAGTAGGAACCACCCCTCTAGGAAAGTTTAAATTGAACTTGGATAGGTCGGCTAGGGATGGTTTCTACATAAGAGAAGGGGTGATTCGGGATGATGTAGGTATTTTTGTCGTAGATTTTGCTAACTTTTATGAGGAGGGTACAAATTCTAAGGATGAAGTGTTAGCATTCTTTGATGGTTTAGTTCTTTGTAAAGACTTGGACTTAGACTCGGTCATTATTGAATCTAATTCTATATTGGTTGTTAATATAGTATTATCCATCAATAAGGTCCCTTGGCTATACACTTACTCCTTTCGTAAGTGTCGAGCAATGAGGGCTAATCGCATTGTTACACATATTTAGATGAAGCAAAACATGGTGATTCATTCTGGTTGGTAGTGTGTCTAAGACCAAATTCGTGTGTATCATCTAGAGTCCGAACTTGAAATTTTTGTCACATTCGTTTATCCAAATTCGATTTTGATAAGTCTATCTAAGTCTTGTCCAATTTTTTGAAATTTTCTTATCCACTCTTAGTTTATGATATTAGCTACTTTACTCAAAGTCCAAGTTATCGACATTTACTTTTGATTTAAGAATTCTTAGCTACTATAGCTTTTAGTCCAATTGTGATCATATATATTTAAAAAATAAAGAATGAAAGAATCGGTTTATCAACACTCGGATAGTAACATCTCGGTATAAATTTCAGATTTTTAGTGTGGGTCTTAAGTCCACTTTATTCGATCCAAACTTATTCAAATTGGTAGCTAAAGATGCAACAATGTCAATTTGATTATCCTAAAAACAAATCTAGTTGTGATATTCAAAATAAAGTGATTTAATTTAGCTTTGGGAAATTATCAATTCCGTTAGAAAAATTCGGTCTTTTAGGTTCAGCTTGCTTGAGGTTCTTGGTTTAGCCTAGAAATCCATTTTGAGTCCTTAGGTTTGTTGACCGAATCGATCCGAAAACTACATTAGTTAGGTTTGTAAGTTGCTTAAACACATTATTTTCCATTTAAAATAATTTATTTAATTCTTGATTATTTTGGGGTGATTAGTTTAAGAAAGAACTCTAGGTGTGAATTTGAGTGGTAAAAGCAAAGTGTGTGAGCTCGTTATTAAAAAAAGCCTAAAAAAGGACAAACACGAGTGTCAAGTGTCATTACAATTGAGAGAAACATATGAGGAAGTGTTTGTGAGATTTTCACTAACATTTTATGCAGGTATAAAAAAATCATGTCTTCATCATTATATTCTAAAAAGAAAATTCATCGTGATTGGTGGCAACTAGAAATAAGAGATATGGAATGACCAATGCCAAAAGATCCGTTTAAGGCTTTTGAAATTGAAATCAAATGTATGAGATGACTATTTAAACTTTGTAAAGAATAAGCACTCGAGCAACAAAATGAGGCAATTGAAGCCGCAAATTCCAAACATAATAGTATCAACATAGACATTGATGCAGTTGAAACATCCGCTAAAAAATTCTAGTGACACGATGAATAATCAACATCTAAAAATTTTAAGGTTATTTTTACTAAAGAAAAGGTTCATGAGGATGAATTTGTAGTGTCGAAAACACTTCAAAGTTCAGCAAAAATGTTGACAAAGTCGTTATTCTTGATGATGCAGTAGACATCGAAAGTTTTGACAATGAAGTCACTAATGTTGTTGCCCTTTTTGAGAGTGTTGAAGTCAAAGATGAGGAGCTTAACAAGGTTATCAATGAAGGAATAACCGAGTGTGATGTTGCTACCATTACGGTGTTAGATGAGGGTGATGACGTTGTTACAATTGATTTTCTTGGTGTTGACAATTCGTATAGTAGAAGGTGTAGTTCATTGAAGCTTAGCTTTGATGACATTGGATACAAAATATTTAAAGATATCAATTGGTTGGTTAGCCACTTAAATGATTGTAACTTTAATTTTTCTAGAATTGAGATTGTCATTTGTTACCCATAAGGTAACATTCGAGGACAAATATTTTTGAAGAGTTGGGGAATGATACAAACATAGGCTACTCAAACCTCAATGTTATCATCAACAAGGAGATAAGTTGTTTCATTTTAGGTTGAGAGTATGATATTACTGTTTGGTACCGGGGTTGGTGTTGTTGGGTCATGGTTGGGTGCTTGGAGTCATTTGGGTCGAATATGTTAAAGATCACTTTGGGCTATAGCTCTATCACTTAGAGCAACTCCACTTTGCATGAAATTTAATTGAATTAAATATTCAAGGAGTGACACATTGACTCAATTCTTGGACCAAATTTATACCAAACTTATGGCACATAACCCTAAGCTAGTGGTTGTAGAATTTCAAGCCATTTTGCCGAAATTAAGGAGGCTAACTTAATGGATGGTTCTTCAATTCTTGATCTAGATTTATTAGCTGCATCTTTCCAAGTTAGATTGGCAAATTTTAGGAGACTTGAATTAATTTGTTTTGTTGGATTTTAGGCAAACTTAAATGCCTTGTTTTAATTTCGATTCCAAGTAGCCATTATAAGGAAAAATAATGTAATTCATATTATTAAAAAAACCTTTGATCAATTAAAATATTTTGTAAGATTATTATCTCTTTTCGGTTCTCCCAAGAAATATCGAACTTATCAAGAATTCATATTCTTGTGACGTTCACTCGAACTTATCAAGAGTTATAACCTCTTGTGACGTTCTAAAGACTTATCATTCCCCCTCTATCTATCTAGAGTGTGGCATCCATATCCCTCTAGATTTGATTTGGCTTGTCGAGGCTCAAACGAATTGATTGTGGGTTCTCTAACCATCGAGCTAAATGGGTTCGCATAAGTTTTTTGAGATGGTTTTCAAAACCGTCGCTAAAAACTCAAAATTGTAACGAAATTCGCTATGGTCTACTTAAACCATCGCTAATTCTTGGTTTTTAGCGATGATTTTCTATGTTGTTGTTAAAAAACGATCGCTAATCCTTTGTTTTGTTATAGTGGTTATATATAACATTGTTATTTTATGAATAGTGATTGTTATATATATATATATATATATATATATATATATATATATATATGTTTTTGATATTTTATTATTGTTTGTGCGATATTAAACTATTACAAATGTTATCATTATTTTTTTATAATAATTTAGCTATTATAGTATGATATTAAACTATTAAAAATGATATTATTATGTTTAATTTTTAAAAATATATGAATTAAATAAATTTATTGAGAATGGGTAGATTGTTAATATATTCACAATATCCGTAGTATTACTATAATTGTTATTTTATTACACGTAAATTGCAATCTAATAATTGCGATCATGATTGTTTCTACAATCGGTTCTGCATTTTCCGCAATTTAAAAGCATAGTGCTAGTAAGGGAAGCTCAACGTCAAATATGCAATCAAACCTCTCTATTTTACTTATATATTAATGATTAACCACAGTTGCTCTCTACTTGCCAACCCACATGACTAAAATAAAAGATAAATCATCTGACAAAGTAACAGGAAAATTTCCATGCATGACTCTTGCTACTCCTGTATTATTCTTTCCATGGCTCAGCTACTCAGCTGCTACTGTTTAAATAAAAAGGACCAACCATGCAAAAGCAGAAGAAACTGCAACAATCGAATCATCTGCCTGCCGACTAAATTTGATGGAGAACCATTTTTAGGTGGAGCAGGTGCTGGGGTAGGTGCAAATTCTTCAACATAGATACCAACTTTCATTCCATTCCAGCAATACCCTCCACCGCTCAGGAAGTAATAAGGCCTTGCCTCTGTCAGTTGAACCACATCCCGGCCGCCACGAGTAATGTTTTTTATGAAGCCTTGGTCATTGCAGTTCTCGTAGTTTGTTTTGTTCACCTCCAGGACATTGTAGTAGTGCTTGTCGAACACAAAAACTGAAAATGACCAATTAGAAACAAAGAGCACACCTTTGTACAGCTTCAATGCAATGCAAGATTAGTACAAGATTATTGAAATGAAACAAGTGATCTTTCTTTATTTATGATCCAAAAATAATAAAACCATCGGATTTTTTTCTTTAAATCCGTACCTTTTATACCTTGTTTTGAGTAACATCTTTAGAAAATATTAACACTTCAATTATCAAATTTTCATAATCAAGTTTTCATTAAATAATACATTAGAAACCAGATAGCATTCCCATTCAAAAAAAATTTCCATTAACAGCAAAATATTGGTGACCTTCCAGAATTGGCCAAAGGGTACTCGCCTAACCTCTACTCCTAACCCAGGCTTAAGTTCAATCTCCATTGTTCCGATTCAATGTCAACTCCTACTGTTATCAAAATTCCCAAAAGTTCCTGATAAAAATGAAAAGTTTCAACCCCCCCCCCCAAGGGGGCCAAAAAAAAAGAAAAAAGAGAATTTAATTGTTTCAAATTTCAAACTTTATCTAATCCTCAACTTCATAATGTATATTTTTGGTCGTATGGATGGATATTAGTGAATTAATGATCTTAATTCCCAACTTTATGACTTCATTGGCTCAAATATTCCTTCCTGTCACATGAAAAGATAGAGAAACATCCAATTTACATCTAATTCAAATTCGAAAATCAATTTCAAAAACATTCTTAATCACTTGTTTAGTTCTGTGGGAGGAATCCCTTACAGATAATCCTGCACATCTAAGAACTTTGCGTAAATTTATGCTTCTTCCATGTTGTCCAATCCAAATGTCACAAGTAAAGCGCTATCGCAAGGTCTCAAACAATTTGTAAGGGAAAAATTACCAAAAACCTAGCACATGCATGGAAATGAAATAAAATGTAATCAAACATGCTTTTATATAGAGAGAGAGAGAAAGAGAGAGATAGAGAGAGATAGAGAGATGCATGGAGGGAGAGGTTTACTTACGAAGCCAATCACCAACATAGAAATGGTCTTGACTCTGACTCAACCAATCAGTGTAATTATAATTCGGGATCCATCCTCTTGAGCCCACCTTATGTAGATGCTCAGCAGCGGCACTTTCCACTATCATCATAATAGTCACCGCTGTTGCTGCCATCGACAATATTACATTTTTTCTAATTGTTGTCCTCCCTGAACTCTCCATTGTTTTACTCTACGGACTCTATCAAAGCTAATTGCTAGCTAGGTATCCTATAGAATCTAGATTAACCTACAAAAATATATAGGAGAATTTGAATATGATGTTAACATGAAACTACCTGGTCCTCTTGGCTTGCTTTATAGTCAAAAATAGGGAGGATTTTTTGGTAAGTTGAGTTGGCATATCAGATACCAGGTGCACTTTGACAGTAACGTCGTATGCCCTGACTCGCTTTTTTGACCTATTCGTGTGCAATCATACCATGTGGTGACGTGCAACGGGTTCAAAAATTTTAAAATACTGTACAACTAACTACTAAATCTTGGTATCATTTAACTTTTTATGCCTTTGTTTCACAATTTTCTTAAAATAAAAATATTAAAATTAAATATGTTTTGTTTAGTTAATTAGATTGTGCCATTTTTTTTTTAACCTTTGGTTAAGCCTTTTTAAGAATCTTGTGATTTTTGTAAGTTTAGAAGAATTAACAAAAAACAAAACAAAAAAAAAAAAAAAAGAGAAAGAAAAAGGAAACAAAGAAATGAAAATTTGGGTTCGGAGTCTAATTAAAAAATATGAAAAACGAGGCAAAAAAATCTAATTGGAGGTCGAATTGCAAAGAAATCCAATTGGAAGATATTTGACTAGAAAATAAAGAGATAAGACTTAAAATAAAATAAAAATAAAAAAAGATAAAAAAGGAAGGACAAGTTGTGATTTTCACCTAAAACCTTAACAACTCTTATTATAAAAGCATTCTTTTTCTCTCACTTAAAGGAGGAGCGCTACAAGAAAACTGAAAAATAGTAACGGATTTTTTCGTTGGTAAATCATCGATATTCATCGTTATTTATCCTAAACAACAGATTTACGATAATATATTTTTAATAGCTAAAACGGTCATCTTTATCTCGTTTAGCAATGGAAATTTACTTTTGGTGTTGATTAGCAACCGTCTTTCCATCGCTAATGTGTAGAATTTTTGTTGCTAAATTAAAGTAAACAATCGTCTTTCGAGTCCGACATATGTCGTAAAACTATTGCTATTCCCCTTATTTTCTTTGTTAACTAGCAATGAAATTGCCATTGCTAAATAAAATTCCTCACAAATCCATTGTTATTTGGCTACCATATATATTTCCATCATAAATAGATTTAATTTTTATCGCTAATTTGGTCGTTGAACCGTCACTAAATGAAGAATTTTATATATATATATAAATTAACGGTCGTTTAATATTAATAGTAGTAGTAAACAACTAAAATAACACCTTATTAAAATACTATATTTTATTTAATAAAATTAAAATAATATAAATTGAAATCAAATAAATATATAAATGCTTTAAGGAGTATAAAAACATTAAAAACCTTTTTTAAAAAAAAAAAAACAAGAAATCTAGTCCTCCTCCTCCTCATTATCATCATCATCATCCCTAGCATTATCTTTCGATTGCTCGAGTATTGAGAAAAATGACTAACTCTTGGATTGTGGAGGGGTCGAAGGAGAGACACAAGTCTACCGCGGGTTCCGTAACAACCCCATCATTATCTTCATCTAACTCTATAGAGTGTTGAATTTATCCTTCTATTCTTAGATGGTAACATTCATCCCCTTAATTCTATTTTCGTATCTGGCAGTAACCTCCAAAATATTACCACCAAGAAATCACAAAGTGGCAGAGGAGGAGCCGACACTAGAAAGAAAGCAATATTAGGATGATTGTGATATGAGAACGTACACTCTCTACTTCTTTTCTCTTCATACAACAACAAAATATATCTTGGTCATATTGATGTTTGGAGACGATGAATCACCCTCCTAGTGCTCCTTAGCGACTACTTCTTGCAATGACTACACGTGCTTCTACACCATTGAAATAATTATAAATATATATTTTATATTATATTAATATATGTATATTTACAAAAATAAAAATATTTATCATTATTGTCTAGGATCGCCTATTGATGAATAACTCATATTTTCTCTTGTGAGTATTCAAGAATACATCATAAAGGTTACGATCCAATTTATTATGCTGAAAAAATAGATAAAATAATATGAGATGCAATAAATGTAAAAATTAATTTATAACACAATGGATAATAGGATTTACTAGTCATTCATCATGCTCAATCAAAGAGATGGACCCTCGTATGCCTAAATGGGTCAGCACTAATACCACCCATCCAATCCATCTCCAATAGGCGACTCTAGAATGCATGTTGAGATTGAGCCTAAAACTCGTGTATGGCTCAATCCTAGTGTCATCTATCCCACACCTACCGTGTAATAAACATGGATTTGTCAATCTTTTGCTTCGACTTATTTAGTATGTCAACATACTACCTTTGTGCTAGACTTTCCCATGCATTTTTAATTAGTACGTCGACGGCTACATCCTATAAAAAATATTTTTACATGAAAAAAATTATATTGGTACATTTTATGATAAATTAATACTTTAAATGGAATATAAATAAATAATTAAAATGTTATCCTAAACTCATTAAAGTAGAAGTCTTTCATCTCCATAGAGACAAACTTCTATATGGAGCCACAAGGTCCGCTCACTCCTTGAAAATTGAGATGATTTTTATGAAGCACTTACTTGACGAAACCAAGATGTAGAAAAAAATAATAAATAAGTAAATTAATGATTCTAGTATAATATATGAAAAATATAAAATTAATTATCACATGCAAAACATATTGCTTACTTGTTATTGTTGACCCAAATGGTTCGTGTAGTATCGGATCCAATAGAGCTTCATGGAGCTAAGGACACCATCGAGGGGACCCTCGCAGCCAGAGACACTAGCAACGGGGCGCTACTAGAGAGGGCATTACCTAAAGGGGCACTATTTATAAGAATGCGGACGTGTTGGTGCCACTATCAAGTCCATATCCCCAAACACTAGCACTAGTAGTGTCACGGCCACATACAATGTCATTACCGAGTGACAAGATCACAAACACTACCACGATCATAGACACTATCGTTATCGGAGCTACGATGACTTCCTCCACGATCAAATCAGCTCAATCCATAATGCATCACTCTAGAATAACACATGAAATAGTTTAACAAATATAAAAAATGAATAATAATTCGATTAAAAATATATTACAATTTAAAAAAAAAAATTCAATAAAGTCTTTCTTGTAAATTGGATATTCTCTTATTATTGGATACTCTACTCGTACAAAATTCAACACATCCAAAATGCACTACAAACATCTAAAAATACATAATAGACAAAGTGATATAATTTAATAAATACAATAAATAAATAAAATTGATCTTTAATTACAACTGTCATAATCATGTTCTAAAATTTTCTTTCCCTTGGTTGATAACATAACATGAATGAGAGCTTATGAAATATTCAAACATGAAGGAGAGCTTATGCAATATTCGGAGTAGCAAACACATGCAACTAGCATTTGTAAACTAAATTAGTTTCTCACTAAGACTTCAACACATCTAGAAAAATATGTAGAAGTCTCCTTTCACGATGACTTTTTTAGTCATGTTATTGGTGGCTGCATCCCGTTAGTTACTCTCTCTCTCTCTCAAATACTAATATATGCTTTATTCTAATTATTTTAGTGCTTAATTTTTTAAGAAAATTTTTATATGAATATTATGTTGAGTAATATTTTGGAAATATGTACGATTATAGGTTCACAATTGGGAGCAACAAGAGGTCTAATACATGTGTATAGTTGTAATGTACCTCAAGATTGTGTAAGCAAAAATTGCCCTTGTGGAACATTTTGCACTACATGGCCAACGGATGCACATTTATTATCGATCAATACTTCTAAATACTAAATAACAAATAACTAACAAATTGCAAAATAAATAAAATTAGAAATGAAAACATTAACTAAAATTAACCTAGTTAATTTCAACCTAAATCAAATAAACATAGCTAAATACAATTCAAACCTAATTAATTTAAACTTAAATCAAACAATCTTAATTGATTCTACTTCAAATCTAATTAAATTTAAAATAACAAATGATTTTTAATTTTTAATATAAATAAAATTAAAAATGAACCAATTAATAAAAATTAACCTAATTAATTTAACTCTGAATTCAAATTAATCTAAGTAAATTAATCCTAATTCAAATCTAATTAAATTTTTAAAAAATAATTAACAAGTTAATCTAATTAATTTAACTCTAATTCAAATTAAACTAAGTAAATCAACCCTAATTCAAACCTAATTAACCTAATTAATTTAACCCTAATTAACAAATTAACCTAATTAATTTAAATACCAATTAATTAACAAATTAGCCTAACCAATTTAACTTTAATTCAAATTAACCTAATTAATTTAATTCAAATTCAAATTAACCTAAGTAAATTAACCCTAATTGAAACCTAATTAACCTAATTAACAAATTAACCTAACCAATTTAACACCGATTCAATTCAACCTAATTAATTTAACTCTAATTCAAATTAACCTAAGTAAATTAACCATAATTGAAATGTAATGAACCTAATTAATTTAAATACCAATTACTTGATAAATTGACCTAACCAATTTAATTCTAATTCAAACTAACCTAATTAATTTAAATCTCATTCAAAGAAACCTAAAAAAATTAACTCTAATTCAAACCTAATTAACCTAATTAATTTAACTCTAATTAACAAATTAACCTAATTAATTTAATTACTAATTAATTAATAAATTAACCTAAACAACTAACAATTAAATATTAACAAATTTAAAATTAAACCAATTAATAAGAATTAGGTTAACAATTATGAAAAATAATAACTTTTTAAAGGAAATAAGAGAGAGAGAGAGAGAGAGAGAGAACATGCCTTTGGACAAAGGGAAAAGATAGAAAGGAAGGAGGAAATTTCGAGCTTTTTAGGAAGAAACAAGTTTTGAGTGGGTGAGGATGCTGGGGAGTGGAGGATGGGGGGTTTTTGCAGGGTTCAGGGTGGCATGGACAGCAACAGTTACA